AGTGTGTACACACTGCAAAAATTTTGCGCGCGCCTGGCCCAGACTAGTTTGATGTAGGATCAAATTTGCAGTCTGTACGGGGTTAAAACGTAGATGTCAAGCTTACCCTCTACCTGCACCTAAACAGTTCTGACAGGCGATCTAGTATAGGACTGCAGAAATCATCCCAGACTCCGCCATACTCCACGACAGATGGCTCAATTTATCCTGAGTTGTACGAAGGGGGCGCTGCATGCAGTTTGAGACTCCGCAAGAAAAAACTGTGCCGACTCACGAGAGGGTATACATGTGTCGAACGCTGAATGTTGGCTCGATGTCAGCATCCCTAACTAGGCGACCCCTGCACGACCTTCGCGCGACCTACAGCATCCGAGGAGGAGCTCGCGGGAGATGCTTGTGGTTCATCATCACATCCCATTATCCCAGCATTAGTCCAATATCCATCACATTGATTCTCACAACTCTAAATCACATGTCCCTGCAGTACGCTCGACACGAGCATGGGATTGTGGGTCACAGTGGGTCATAGCGACATAGGTGCGACCCCATGCCCTATCGTTGTCACGCATACCCACCGTACCAGTTTACCCAACTGTAATATACATTTTTGGAATGCGATGCGAGGCGAAGGTAATAAAGCTCTCTGTGCTTTCACAGATTCACAACATGCAGGTGACTCATGCAGGCACGATGCAGACAGACACTCCAATAAGATGGATTCTTTCGTCTCCAATCTACTCTGGCGCGCTAGTCTCGATCACGCCATGTGAGCTAGAAAAAACGAGCGAGGGAGCGCCGGCGGGGGAGATGGGGAGGAGGAGGAGCAAGAGCAAGAGGAGCAGGAGGAGCAGGAGGAGGAAGAGAAGGGGGTAAACTAAGAAAAACGAGCGAGGGAGCGCCGGTGAGGGAAAGGAGGAGGATGAGGAGGAGGACGACGAGGAGGAAGAGGAGGAGGAGGAGGACGAGGAGGAGGAAGAGGAGGAGGAGGAGGAGGATGAGGAGGAGGAAGAAGGCGAGTAAACTAAGTGTGGATACTTGCGCAAGTTAATATTCAACGAGTGCACCGCGCCAACCGCCAAACCGCATAGCGAGACGATGATAGAGATAGAGACAGTGATAGCGAATGCCAACAAGTGATCATCACACTTCATAAAGCGAATTAAGAAACTTTAATACCCGATTGCTGCGGGCAACTAGCACCTCGATTCAACATCGCAGACCAACACCGACCCTACTGACTGGAAAGCAGCTACAACTGTCTATAAAGCAGGCAGCAGGTTGCGTGCGCACGTACAACCACCAACACCCCCGCCAGCATCTCGACTCCACACCCCCACCAACATCCAGAGAGACCGGGTACAAGATGGCGTTGCGCAAACGATGCGTTGCTCCCCAACCGCCGAGATCGGATAAGCCGCGCACTTCCGCGGGAGCTCGGTGCACACGACCGCGGGGGTGTTCCACGTAGCATCCAACATCTAGACTCCACACCCCCACCAACACTGACCCTACTGACTGGATAGCAGCTACGACTGTCTCTATAACGCACGCAGCGGGTTGCGCGTGCATGTACAACCACCACCAACACCCCCGCCAGCATCTAGACTCCAAACCCATTCCAGTCGCACGCATTCGTGCTTGCAACGACTATAATTATATATATTACCAGCGCTACGAAAATGATTGGCGACGCGGAGAAATCGCCGAGACTCTGCAGGTAACGCACGAAAAAATGTCAGCCGTGTGCAGACGCGCGTTATCAGTCGAAACCTTGGAAGCAAATCTTGCCACCTGATCAGTAAACCTAACCAATCTCTTGCGTCACTAGCCGAGGGCATCACTTTCGGCGCGCACATTATATCTTGATTATATATATATATATATACATATAAATCAGCATAGCATTAGCTATATATATATATATATATATGCCCTAATGCTTCTGCCATGGCAGATCTGTGTAAACATGGCATGCATACCTGATGCCATAAACTGGTTTCTGTTCTGATCCCATACCCTGGTCTCTTTCCTCCTCGTCCTATACACTTGTTCCATGCACCCCGCTCGCATACCCTCGTTCCTTTCCCTCTTCTATACATCCTGGTTCCTTTCCCTCTTCTATATATCCTGGTACCTTTCCCTGTTCTATATATCCAGGTTCCTTTCCCTTTACTGTATATCCTAGTTCCTTTCCCTGTTCTATATATCCTGGTTCCTTTCCCTTTACTATATATCCTGGTTCCTTTCCCTGTTCTATATATCCTGGTTCCTTTCCCTTTACTATACCCTCGTTCCTTTCCCTCTTCTATACATCCTGGTTCCTTCTACAGTTCTATATATCCTGGTTCCTTTCCCTTTACTATACCCTCGTTCCTTTCCCTCTTCTATACATCCTGGTTC